ATTGGGTGTTTGTACCTGAACATGATGTATCTTAGTTCTTATTTTTTTCCCCATTACCTATGCACCCTTCACCCCCACCACCCTTCCCTATTTACATAGACTTTGTTTCCATTTTTTTTTTCCTCCTCATAATCATTACTCTTTTTTTTTGGTACCAGCGATCAAACTCAGAACCTTGCACTTGTGAGGTCGGCAGCAGCACCACTGAGCTAAATCCCCGGCCCCCAATTTCATTATTCTTAACTTTCAAGTCTTCTTGAAATAATACACTGAACTTGATCTTTAGTGATATTGGGTATAGCAATACTCACATTCCATTTGTGTTAAGATAATCATACAGTTGAACATATCTGTAAAAGAAAGGATTACAGCTTTGTCATTCAATATATTCTTCACATCAGTATGTTTCAGTGGCTTCTCAATTCAGTATTTCAGGATCAGAATGTATTTTATGTACTGGGCTCCTGATTCAATCAAATCTAATGTAAAGGTTGTTTTCCAATACAGATGAATGCACTAATAACTCTAATTTCACAGTCATGTGCTATTTCTTGGCCAAAGAAATTATGATTGACTCTCTCTGTAATTACATGTGCTGGACTAATGATTTATTTATACTTGAAATCTCCAATATCTGTTCTTTGAAGAGTTATTTTTACATTAGTCCTTGCTTATTGAAGAATTTTAGGCATACGAAGTGTTAATCATATAAATGTAGAATATAAAATTATAAATGGATAAAAATTTATGTTTAATTAAAATTAGAGGATGGACATGTAATTCACCATTATCTTTTCCGATATTCTTCTGTCATCTGGGTAACACAGCCTCTTCTTTTGGATGAGGAACATCTAATATGTGGTCTAAATGAAAGCTGCCATCATTTCTTAGCCATAATCTCCCCAATGCTTCTAATTTGCATAGAAGTGGTAATTGACCTCTGCTCTTAGCCACACAGATGGGCCCAGGACAGGGATGGGGGTCAGGTTGAAATGAAGCTTGGCTATATCCCAAATCAGTCTTTCGGAGATTTTCAACTGAACTCAAGTTGGAAGGGACAAAACCTTCCCTTCCCTGTGGAAAACCTGGGTATTTGTGAGCCAGGAGCTACTAGTAGGCATTACCTAGCCTAACCTCAGCAGTATTAACATGTTCAGTGATATTCTTTGCTGCTGGGAGCTGTCTTGTGCATTGTAGAACATTTAGCATCATATATGGCCTCTACTTACTAGGTGCTAATATCACCTTCCTCCATAGACCACCAAATATATCTCCAGGCTCTGCCAGCTGTATGTTGTGTCCAAAATGGCACCCATCAAAATGGGCCCAATTAGAATCACAGATTTAGCCTCACAGGAGCAAGCAAGAGGAAGAATGGAAACAAATAATTCAAGAAAAGTAGAGATTAAAGGTAGAAACTTGAGTCTGTAACATTAAGTGAAATAAATCAGTCACACAAGCTTAAATATCACATGGTTCCTCATATGAGAAACCTCAAGTAGATATAATTTAAAGAGTAAAATAAAGACAGATAATAAGAAACACAGTGATAAAGCTTTTGCAAATGAGAAGGGGATCTAGAGAAGGAGAAAAGGAGGGAGAGGTGAAGAAGGGAAAGTAAGCCCCTCATGATAATTGTAATCATGTACTGCCAACATGTACGAATAAAGACAAAAATAAAGAAAGAGGATTGCTGAGGAAAACATCTCTAAATACATTCCTTTTTTATTATTATGTAAGCTGATCAGTTTCTTTTTTTTCCTTAGGTATTCTGATTCTGTTCTTTTGTCGAATAAAATAATAATTCTGAAACAAAATTAGTAAAAGACAGATGGGAAAACGGGAACAAAGAAGAATATAAAAAGAAATCAATCAGAAGGCTTGATCAAAGCATAGATTAAACCATGAGTTTGGAAAAGTTACATAAGAATTTACAAGCCTGTGTACAGAAGAGAACATAAAGGAACTGGTTGTGCTGGTCATCAGCATAACTGGAATCCTAAACAGGTTCCAGACCAAATTACCTGCAAGGTAGTCATGGAATGAGCCAAAGAAGAAAAAACTCTAGACTTTTATATATGACCTCTTGGAAGTATACATGACTTGTAATGATTTTAAAGTGTGTGAAGGTAGGTGTGTGTGTTTCTTGTTCTTTCAAAAAGGAACAAATAATGTTTCCTATTCCTTCAATTGAGAGACATTTTTTAAAAAGAGAGAAGGAAAGGTAGAAGCCATGAAAATGAGCTTCTGCATCTGAACCAGATACAAGTCAGATGTTAAATTTGGCTCTGCTATCTCCAAAGTTCATATGAGACATCCTCTCTGGCCATAACCTTCATCTAAGCACAATTTTGCTTCCCATAGATACAGAAAATAAGTTTCTTCCTAGGATTCCAGGTCAAAATAACTTACAAATTCATCATCAAAGCTTCAGTTTTCAATAGCCAATTAAGGCAAAATATCTTGAATCCTCTGTTCCCCCACAGGTAAGTGGAATGAAAAAGCAGTACTACTTGGTGCCAAGCAATTGTACAAGATGAACTTGTCCTTTCATAGTCAGCCATTTTCAAAACATACTAAATCTATCCCCCATTCTACCCATTCTATATAACAGTCACAGAGATGGCCTACTTAAATAAGTGTTTGTTTATAAGGTTATATTCTTGGGGCCAAAAGAAATGAGCCACAGCATACCTGTGTTTGGGGAAATAGTTACTGAAAAGAGATGGTATTGAATGAAAAGTATATATAGACATTTGGTAGATTTTTTCTTTTAAGTAAAAGTTTATGTTGCTATTGTTAAAGGGCTTTTTATGATAAGGTATCAAATAATCATGCTTCCATATTACTAACAATAATTACACCACAACACACATCCCAACCTTGTCAAGAAAGCTACACCAAAATTTCCACTGCTACCTGACAGCACAAGGATCTCTATGGACCTGTAACTCATCACTGAAAACTATGACAGTCCCTCAACAAGTAGTGCTGAGACAACCAAATACCTGCATGGAAAGGAATGAAATTGGGCCCTTTCTTCACACCATCAACAACAAGTAACCCTAAATGGGTCAAAGCCTAAAAGCTTAAGAATTTAAGCCTGAGTTTAAGACTCTTAGAAGAAAACACTGGAGTAAATTTGCAAAACCTCAGGCTTGACAATGTATTCTTCCCAAATCATAAAGAACAAAAGGAAAAAGTTACATTGCATTTCATCAAAATCCCAAACTTCTACAGTTTAAAGAGCATAATCAAGAAAGTAAACGATCATAATTTTACAAAGATCTGTATCTACAATTTATAAACAAGTCTTACAACTCAGTTAGAAAAAGGTAATATAATTTAAAAGTGGGTAAAAGATATGAATAGTTATTTCTCCAAAGGATATATATGTAAGTCTATATTTATTTATCTTATATATATCTATATATCATCTATATATGGCCAATAAGCATAAATATGTCCAACAGTAGCACATGAAAACATGCAGTACAGACATGCAAATCAAAACAGAAATGAGGTACAACTTCATACCACCAGGATGACTATAATAAAAAGCCTCAAGTAATATCAAGTGTTGGTGGGGTTGTGGAGACGCTGAAAGCCTCATTCTGTATTGGTGAGAATGGAAAATGGTGCAGCCAATTTGGAAAATGATCTGGCAACTAAAATGGTTAAACACAGTTAAATAACCTAGGAATTCCACTCTCAAGTACAAACCAAAGAGAAATGTAAACACATGAACACAAAATCAGTATGAAATCACTCTGCATATGAATATCACTAGAATGTAAGCTCTCTGAATTGAGGTTTTATTTTGTTTTGTTTTTTTGCACTGGGGATTGAACCCAGGGCCTTCACACTGAGCTACATTCTCAGCTCTTTTTGGTTTTTTTATTTTGAGATAGTATCTCATTAACTTGTCCAAGGAAAGCTTGAAATTGTGATTCTCCTTCCTCAGTCTGGCACTATCGGCTTGTACCACCACACTGGCTAGAGTGAGTGTGTCTTTTTTTTATCACTATAATATTTAACACCTACAAAAGTGCCTTGCAAAAGGCAGATAGTTAAGAAAATGAATGGGCTAATGATAATAAGCTTACACCCTAAAAATAAAAGCTAGGAGTGATTTGTGAAGAATACAGTGAGTCGGGTAAATACTAGGTAGGAATATGATTATATACATACTTCTAATAACTCAAATAATTTAAATCTGTTTTGGATCTTCTTTTAATTAAATAACTTTGAACAAGTCAGCTTTTGAACTTATTTTTAATGTTAAATCTCTTAAAGTCTTAATATCAAGTTAAAAAGTATTTCAGAGAAAACTATGATGAAATCAGAATGAATATATAGCATACTTGTTAACAAGGAAATTCATATTGGAATCTGTTTCAGAGGCTAGAGCTATTGGTAGAAAAAGAGCACACCACAGCTCGCAATTTCATATGAAATCTTTTATTAAAACTGAGTCTTTATAACATATTTAAAATGTCATTTTCCACAATCAAATATTGAAGAAAAAAAATCTCTATTCAATTATTGGCACATAAATTTAAGAACATAATTAAAGTTAAGCAAAATCTTTATCTATATATATCTATTTCTATAATATAATAGACCTATATATCTATATTAATATATGTCATATAATAGATCTATATAGATTGATAGATATATATATCTCCAAACTCATGTCAAAGACCTGGAATACCTGAGTTTTCAAGTTGCTGGTTTTCCAGATAGTGTGAAATGTTTTCCATCCACTTTACAAAGGGCACAGCTGATCCAGAAAGAGTAACTTTGGTTCAAAGATGCTGTCTCCCAAAGATCAAACAGAAGTCCTCAATGGGATTAAAGTTTATCTTCAGAGTCTTCTTCTATGTGAAGGTCAGTCTGTGTTGTAAGGAATGATTCCCATGTAGCAAGGCACTGAATAATGGAAAGACATCATGTGGTCAACAGCAATTTACCTCGGTGTGAGAAGGATTAATAAATCCTGACATATATGTTCCTACCACAAGCTATCTCCTTCCTCTCTCCCATCAGCTTGCCAGAACCACTGTCATTACCTACATACTTTAATTCTTAATGAGTGATGCTATTACCAAATAAGAGGGAAACATATCAAAATTTAAAAGATTAACACAGATTATTAGAAGTAACTCACTATTTTTCTCATTGTCAGGAAAGAAAATAGGGCTCTAAGGTATAGAGTGAAAGGTGGACCAGTTCAGATCTAAGGAGGCAGGGATTAGGCATCCAGATAGGGGTAATGGTGCAAGCAGGCCTGAGGTGGATGTGAAACCCACCATATCAAATGTGAGTTTGGGATGAACTTTTCTGATAGATTCTTTAGCTATAAATTAGGTTAATGATATTACCACTAAGACAATTATAAAAACTAAATTTATATAATCTGTAAAAATTTCTATGCAGACGCCTAGCACAAGAGTAAGTCCTGAAAAAATTAGCAATTACTGTATTATGACAGTCTTTTAGGGTTTTGGCAAGACTTGGTTATTGATGTTTAAAATATTAAAGAATTAAAATAACAAAACGAAGAGTTATACTTAACACACCAACAAGACATTAATCACGCAAAATTGTCTATTAATT